CTTTCCTGCCTTCGCCTCTGCCCCTCCGCACCCTCCTGTCTCCCCCCTGCACGCCCCCCCCGCAGTTCTTCGAGGGCAAGGAGCTGCGTCTGAAGCAGGAGTACTTCGTGGTGGCCGCCACCCTGCAGGACATCGTCCGCCGGTTCAAGTCCTCCAAGTTCGGCTGCCTGGACCCTGTGCGCACCTCCTTCGAGGCCTTCCCCGACAAGGTGAGGGCGCCGCCCTGGTGGCGCGTGCGCGCTACGACCGCCGCCCCCGGCTGGGAGGATATGCTCGATGGATAGGTGACGTTCTTATCGTCCTCGGGGATGTAGTGCAGTTTTTTTTAGTTGTGTTGATAATATCCTGCCGACTATAATAGTCTGCAAGGCGCGTTGGGTCTCTAAACAAACCCACTGGCCTGAAAACGGGGGGACCCACTTGGGTAGTGAGGTTCATTCCCCCTCCGGGGAGACCTACAGGGGCCGTTCTGCACCAGCGCCCCCCTCCGCCAGCACAGCGGATCCGGGGCAGGAGAGAGGAACCACTGCACCTGTTGAATTAAGGGGGGCCTTCGGGTTGTCCAAGCCCAGGGTGGGATTTAGCCAGGACACCCCTGTTTTCAATAGCAGATCTTCCTAGAACAGGATCTTTAACGACCAATTAGGAAGTCGTTACGCCAGATTAATGTCCTGTCCAAAGGCAAGCAGCTCCTAAAGCACCATATTCCTGTGGGACTGGATTGGCTATTCTGCTGCGGAGGGAAGATCGCCCCCTGCTGGTCCACCGACACCACCCGCAGCACCGAGGAACCCGGTTTTCCTTAGAGGTCTTGCAGCCCAGTAGTGACCGGGCCCGGTCCTGGCTGAGCCCCTGGGATGGGGCGCCTAGGGGCCGCAGCGGCGGGCGTCCCCCGGGGCCAGTGCCAGCACTGTGAGATGAACGTGTGTGTGTGTTTGGAGGGGTTCCTCTTCTAAACTGGGGGTACACTTCCTTCTGCCCGCAGGTGGCCATCCAGCTGAACGACACCCACCCGGCCATGGCCATCCCCGAGCTGATGAGGGTCCTGGTGGACGTGGAGAAACTGGCCTGGGACCAGGTGAGCGGACGCAGGCGTTGGAATTTCGCCCTGAGCACAAAACATATCTGTATCGGGGTCGGCGGTAGTCAAGTCCCACATTCTGGATGTGTGACATGAGGGTCAGCCAATCAGAGCAGGCAGGGTCGGCCTCCTCCTCCTTCAAGTCCGGCCAATCGAGAGGAGACAAGTTCAACTTCCTGCTCCAAATCCAGCCAATCAGAGGTGAGAGGTTCAGCTTCCTACTTCAAATCCAGCCAATCAGAGGAGACAAGTTCAGCTTCCTACTTCAAATCCAGCCAATCAGAGGAGACAAGTTCAGCTTCCTACTTCAAATCCAGTCTGGTCCTCTCCTGGTGGTGTTGGTCAGCCTCCGAGTCTGCCTCGCTTGACCCCCCCTCTCCCTCCTGTGTCGTCAGGCGTGGGACATCACCGTGCGGACATGCGCCTACACCAACCACACAGTGTTGCCTGAGGCTCTGGAGCGCTGGCCCGTCCACCTGTTCGAGACTCTGCTGCCGCGGCACCTGGAGATCATCTACGAGATCAACCGGCGCCACATGGAGGTCAGTTTCCTCACAGCGGCTGTGCCCTCCATCCCACCCCAGGAAAAGAGCTCAGC